GTTAATCTCCTCTACAAACTCGAACTTGTTAGCTCGATCTGCGAAGCGATTTTGCTAGGGTTACAGCTAGAATGTAAAACACGCGCACCTATGAGGACAGACGCAAATACAATGTGAAGAACAATAACAACTTTTATCTTCGAGCTGAGCTGAGTTAATCCACCGGTTGTTCTGTCTCCTACGCGAATGAGCATCTGTATCTGTTTGCATTAGGACATTTTGCCGCATGCAGCACAGCTTTCCTGTCTTCATCCATGATTTTCGGATACGGGATATATACCGATGTCAAACAGCCACGATATATGGTGGAAAAATGCTGCTTTAATACCCGATACATACAAACCATAATCTGTGGACAGCTAAGGGATCTTTTCGAGCAGTGATCACTGTCATCTTGTGTGAAGGCTTTTGCACATTTTACATGTCGCTACTTAAACCATACTTCAACATCACCGTCCACGAGAAAATGTGAAACCCCAATGAGGCGAAATCGGTCGCTTTACTACTTAGGGGGCCAAAGCACAGACCGTACAAAATGTGATGCGTCATTCACTGTGAGTGCATGTGACTACTCAGATGGGCCGCCAGGTAAAAGTTATGTTGCATTTTATTTATTGCCAGTACCATTGGGGGTAGCATTCTCATTGCACGAACCCTTCCGGTGCACTTTACGAGGTGGCAAGTACAAGGTAATTCTGCCAGAGCTAGTGCGCCATCAACCCTAACAGCGCTTTCACAGAGACCTAGATAGGAATGTTTCCGAATACGGTTCATCACAGTCAACTTGCAGCCAGACAGGCTCCCATACCTTTGGAAAGGCACCAGACGGCCGTTTCGACCTCCAGGGTCTCGTCATTGGTGGACATGCCTCGGACCATTTTTGGGTTCCGACCCAGGGGCGTAGCATGGGGGGGGGCGGTCCGCTCCGGGCAAGACGCGACAGGGGGCGACATTTTAGTGCATATGCTCGTTCAATATCAGGTGTAAATTTATCGAAATTGTGTGCATGATTGAAGTGGTAAAAACGGAGGGTAATAGTCATACTGAGATCAAAGATGAACTTGGTACTACAAACGTTGATCTCCGGGAAACAGTAAGTGATACCGAAAACATGGATAAAGTGGGAAATGTTTGTAATGTTGATGTGGAAGATGTAAGCAAACTTGAATAATTGGGAGTGCAACCAAACTTTTGCACGATAATACGCACGTAAATCGATTGTATGGCTGTCTATCAGTGGCCTGTTAAGATTGACCATGAAATTCTTACAATGCTTGGCGGGCTCTGATTTATTGTCGTGAATTCACTAAGTGGCGCTACCTGGAATGAATACAAAACTGAAGCTAAAAACTTAACAACAAACTCGTTCTTTTCAAGAGTTGCGAGAAAACAAGCAAAGACTGTGAACACGGATGACGTATTCTCCCTTAAAATAGGTATTTTTTTGTTTCAGCTGCAGGATGTTTTCAACTGAATGGTCTAATTTTTCGACTGGTGAGGGTTTCAGAAACTGGTGGAAACTGAATCCGAAAACAGATGTACACGAATCTGGTAAATCGTGTGCTCAGTCAGTACCCAACAGCAAGGATCTAGCAATCCAGCTGGTTGAAGGAAGCCAACTGTAGAAAAGACGTAAAGTGAAAGTTTGGCTAGAATACTTGATATAGGTAGAAATGCGTTGCATCTAGACTCACTCAGACAGCTGTCACACGCCCGGAAAAGCCCTGTACGCACGTTTCATCTTTTCAGGAATCGTCAGCAGGGCGCATTCCATCGGACCCTGGTAGGACCTGAACCCGCAACGCGACTGTTGCCTGTCCGTGTTTGAGACCACTGAGCTTAGGGGGCAGCAACGACTATCGTAATTAAGTTACTAGAGGTGATATAGCGCCGCTCACTATCCACTGACTTACACGATGGTCGTTGCCGTCCCCCACAGCTGGTGGTCTCAACCACGGACTGGCAACAGTCGAGTTGCACCTTCGGACCTTACCAGGGTCAGATGGAATGCGCACTGCTGACGATTCCCGAAAGGATGAAACGCGCGTACAGGGCTTTTCCAGGCGTGAGACAGCTGTCTGAGTGAGTCTAGATGTGACGAATTTCTACCTATACCATCCAACTCTCCCTACTACTCTTCTGTAATCAGTACGCAGACCAAACTGCGTATAATGCCAAAGTTAATTGGCGGCCTAGTTTGGTAAGCTCGTAGCTTGGTGAGGGGGCTACCCTATCCTCTGCACAACAGTAATGTGTAAGTCAGTAGATAGTGAGCGGCGCTATATCAAATCTAGTAACTTATTTGTGATGGTTGTTGCCGTCCCCCATAGTTAGTGGTCTCAACCACAGACTGGCAACAGTCGAGTTGCGCGTTCGAACCTTACCAGAGTCAGATGGAATGCGCACTGCTGCCGATTCTCGAAAGGATGAAAGGCGCGTACAGTGCTTTTCCGGGCGTATGACGGCTGCCTGAGTGAGTCTTGATGTGACGAGTTTCTACCTATACCATTCAACTCCCCCTACTACTCTTCTGTAATATTTGATAGCACCAGGTTTCCAGTCAAGCAAAACAGGACTCTGTGTGGTCTCCGAGACTCACCTAAGATGATGGCCAAGAAAAAGGAGGGAATTTTTACGAATTTGTACATTTGTTGGCCAAGTATGTGCCTGCTCTTCGCGAACATTTGATGACTGCTCAGCTGGTATGGAAAAGCAACACTTTCTTTGTCGTCACGCGTTCAAAATGAATTGGCGAACATTTTGGCAATGTAGGCGAGAAAGTTAATCGCAGATCAATTCAAGGAAAGTATGCCTGCTTAATCTTTGATAACACACCCAATGGATCTCACAAAAATCAGATGATGAAAAATGAAGTGACGGCAGGGGAGTCGTTCCGTAGCTTTACTGAGAGGAATATACCGAGGAATATACCATTTATTTACTTGCTTACTCGAACTATTAGCACAACCAGCTGTGACAGCGCATCCTCAAAACTCAAGCTTGTAACGACCTTCAGTCATCAATGAGTCAGACAAGCCTCAAGTATTGGCAGTTCTTCCCATAGAGAGGGAAATCGCTAAAGAATTGAATCTTGCTGGTATTATCAAAACTATTGCCTCAAGGAATGCAGGAAAAATGTATCTGTAACGTTTTCTCACGAGTATTGTAACAATACAAATACCTACATTTAAGGCAGTACTTTAAATTTGATTTTCATTATACGAATCCAAACGTATAAGGTCTGTTCGCAATTGTGTGGGTTTACGGATTACAACTGCCAAGGGGGCGGCAGTTTTATGTCCGCCCCGGGCGGTAAAATTAGTTGCTACGCCACTGTTCCGACCCCATGACCTTTGGATGCCAGCGGCCTATGCCACTAATCCATCGTGACAGCGGCAGACCAGCGTGACTGAACCATATTCAAAATTACACTTAAAAATCCGCGTTACCTACGATTACCCAAAATTCGTCCGTACAGCTTCTAGGTACTGTATCGTACTCGGTCGCTATGCGGAAAGTCGCAGCTCTGTCCTCTGCACAGTTTGTAACTAGCACAGCACTGGAGGATGAGCTGCGTGATAGCGCAGTCAGGTCTGCCGCCATCACCCATGGCTTAGTGACGAGCTGCTGACATCCAAAAGTCAGATCAGAACCCGCGAGGGATCAGAGTAATGTCCACCACTGACGAAACCCAAAAGGTTGAAACGGCTGTCAGTTGTCTTTATAGACGTGGAGGGCCTGCATGGCTGAGGGGTGACTGCCACGAAGCATACTCAACATTACACTAAAAAATCCCCACCACTCATTGGGGAACATTTCTGACTATTAATGAAAGTCATACACTGAAAGCTTGAATCATATTCAGTCCGAGTTTGTCTGAACACAATGCACGAAGGTAAATTCGAATGTGGAAGGCTGTGACAAAGTGGGTAATGCAAATTTTGGCACACTGTCAATGAATCATGAGTAAGGAGTGACGTATCGCAACTCATCAGAATACAAGGAATCTGTTGTCTAGCGAGAGTGTAGATGATTCGGTTAAATGAGCTGGTAAGCGAAACTCCATCAATTAGGTCACTCAATACGAATTGAGACGCTTTTGTGGGTGAAACCGTAATGCAAGTTGGTTACTATTACGGATATTAAAATTACGTTTTCGACTGTGAACAGCGACCCATCGGAAGTAGAAAATGAATGTAAATACCAGTTCTTCAGCATTCACTAGACTAAAACTTCAGTTCATTTGGTAGGTCTAAAAAGTCTAGTAGGCGTCACCTCTAAGTAACTTCGGGATACTATCCAACAGTGCATGCGTATCTCTTTCTTTATCGTACTAGTTTCCGCATGTCCATACTGGCATTCTACTCATGGGAAAATGTGTTTTCTCATTGCAATCCTCCGCTCCCATGTTAAACAAGTGGATCATCAATCATCTACTTTCACATCACCTGTTACCTTTTATCTGGAAGTCGCACTGATGATGTTGCTTAGTTGGGCAACGAGGCACCTGCTAATAAATTTTCCTGGTTGTAGAAAAAAAACCATAATCAACAACACTAGAGACGAAAAGTAGAACTAATTTCCAGTCATCACTACAAGCTGTTGTCAAATTATGATTAGCATAAGGATAAGCATGATATCGTCGGATAATTGCTGCAAGCAACATCCATTTTTAGCTGGTGCCAAAAGCAAAGTGGGGGACACATCTTACATACGAACACAACTCTGTTCCGTATGCTGAAGCAGTGCGACTAGTTTCCTGGAACATCCCATCTTTTCTTTTATACGGCCGGTGCGTTTTTACTGGAACGAAATCAAACCGTACATGGGGGTATGAAATGGGCAGTAACAGAAGCGTCCAAGTTCATACCACCGTATTCCACCAAAGTGAACTATCTATTCACAAATTATTCAGTATACGGTGCCCTTGAACAATTCCATGAATGGCTTATCGCTTTATTTTGAGCGTGTCACAACTGTTCTCCTTCTCCTCTTCCCAGACGCTTCGCCAAATTGGACTACAACCCAGTGGTCTACCAGTCTCACATCGCAACGCCTGGACTGCAGTCGTTCGACAAAGTGGACCTTCTCCGCCGCCGATGGTGCCTGCCGTGTATCACATTGCACGGAATCGAGCACTCATTCGACCAACCGGGAGCGCCAACTCTCATATCCAAAAAGGTGGGTCTGGGCCCACGTACTATGCCTTCATTGCCATGCAGGTTTGGGTCGTTCTGTTGAGTAAATAAAACAACATAAACATCATGAGTTGTTTCCCACCTGCGAAATGATCGTCTTGCCCCAGTATGGTCGACGAGGTGCGACGCATGATCGATACCAAGATTTATTGGCAATGAAGCCCAATTGGATGTTGTAGTAGCAATGCACGTAATACGCTTAGTACCCAAGTGGCAGGTTCAACTAATGCTGTTGTTTATTAGAGAGTTCTCCCGGTGCGTTTCGCTTAAAGCAACCTAGTTTCTTTTTCAAGTGTTGGTAAGGTGAAAAATAGAAAGTCACGATGAGCTCACTAAAGCAAACCGCGACAGACAACGTTTTAGAGACAGTGCGTGATTTAATATTTTGTCGCCTCTATATATATATATATATATATATATATATATATATATATATATATATATATACATATATATATATATATATATATATATATATATATATATAATCTGGTTATAGATAATGTGACGTCAGAACCATGGCGAACTAAAGGGGGAAAGGAAATACGTGTGAATCGAACGACGTTTTTAGGTTTTACGCCGGTTTGAGATCTTTTTGTGTTTTATGTTTGATGAGAAAGTAACTAACAGATAACGCGGTTGGACAGCACTGTCTCCACTGATGCCTGTTACGCACCATAGCCTCCAACGATTCTAACCACTGGCAGTCCGAATCGCGTGGTTCCCATCCTGGAAACCGGACCGGTCCGACGGACGCTAAGCTTGAGGTTGCATTCTTCATCCTCTTTTACATCACTGGTTGTCCACCGCGACACATTTTCCAATCGCTTCCGGGAAGCCCGAGTAACGCTCGACGGGAAAGGCGATAGGTTAGCATGAGCAATATGTGGCCGACACAACGTATGTAGTGTCGAAAAATAACCGTTTGGAGGCAAGGGCTGTTTGCTCCAGACACTCGTACTCGGACTTATGCGTTACTCACGTGATGCTACCACCACACACGAACAATACTACACAGACAACGATTGTCGAAAACTGACAATCGTTTTAGGTTTTCCGAGAGAGTCAGTCAGGTCTCACAGCCATACAACAGGACTGCACGGACCGAGGCAATGTATACCCTGCCCTAGAGTTTGAAATTTACGTCGCGACTGCGCCACGTCTCAGTCTGATGAAGGTAAGGCGGGACTTTGCGACCCGTTGTGAGACCTTATCTTCAATCCAGCCGCCAACTGTGATGCAACACCCTACATAAGTGAAGCAATGGACTTGTTCCAGGACGTCACCAGCAATGATGAGGGCAGGCATAGTCATCTGCCAATCCTGGGGTAGTATTTTATACTTGCCTGGCGTGAAACACAGGCCATACTTAGATGCCTCCATCGCTAAGCGGTTCAGAGCGCTCTGGACGGCTTGTGAACCGTCCCCAAGAAAAGCGATGTCATCGGTGTAGTTCAAGTCCGCGACTCTGTCACCTGGGAGGAGCTCAATGCCGCAGTTTTGTGGACCTTCCAATACTCGTAGAGAAGAGGAAAAGTTGACGGTCAGCACATAGACTGAGCAGTCCTCCGTTGTCAGAGCGAACATCATCATACGCGCGTGGTCCACCGAGGTGGTGCTCACATGGCAGCACCCAACCAATACAGCCATAACAACGATGTCTTAGACGCCCTTAGAATCAGCTCATTAAGATGTTGAGAGAACTGGTCCTTGACTACATCCGAGCTGCCGTAAGTGGGCGCTGAGGCAGGGATCAGGAAAAGAGCACGCTTGTCTGCGCGATGCCTGATTACCTTCCAAGAGCGACGGAGCCTCACAGTGCATAGGCGACTGTTGACTGTAGTCCAGTCCAGGAGAGCGGCCTCAGCTCTAGCAGTGAGGGCAATTCCAGCACAAGCTTGACTAGCTGTGGCGGGCTCAGCGTCACTAGAAAGGTGAAGATAAAAGCGAGCATGTGGTTGGACTGGTGACGACAACTGGTAGATTGTGTTGAAATTCTGCAGTCGAGTTTCACTCGTGCAGCAGACATCAATTTCAAGAGCGTCCAGCGTGCGTGCAAGTCCAGTTTGGTATCCGATCTGCAGTAATGTGCGCACGTTGAGGGTAGTTTATATAAACTACACTCCAGGTGGCAATAGCGAAGATGGCAGAGTTCGAAGCTGGCAGCTTCCTGTCGAGGATTGTGCGGTTGAGTTGACGAGTGGCGAGAGAACAATTCCATCGGCAGAGGGAGGGTTGTTCACCGTTGAAGAATCGGGTAATAATAGGGATGAGTGTTACAAGGAAAAAGTATGTAAATTGGTGGCATGTGTTCGTAAAGTTGGCGTAGTTGCAAAACAGTGGATCATAAGAGCGAAAGGGGATGCGTAGTTGCGTGTATCTATGGTTCATTTAGTAGGCGACTTTAATTTATTCACATGCCAATTTGTTTGGCACCTATTTTGGGCAAGGTTGCCGAGGTTGTGAAAAAGGTTTGCCACAGCTGTTCCTGTCAAAAGATCGCCTAAAGCATGCACAGCACGGTTTCATGCCGGGTCGTCCACGCATCACCAATCTGCAACGAGGCTGGACCTTAGCGTGGTGCGATGGTTTGCGTGCTTCACATATGCATTGACTTATGCTAGGTGGTGCTTTTCTTTACACCTTCAGAGCCACTCATACCAGAATGCTCAATGATTAGAGGTCAGACAAACTCAGCCTCCTGGCCTTCCAGGTTGGGGGTTGGAATGAGGATGGCTCCTTATTCCTTAAAACGGACTCCTAGTAGCCCAACGCCAAACTCGCTGCCTTGCGGTCGAGTTTTTGAACCTAAGGCTTTGGTTGAGAACCCTAATCGTCCTTCTGTCTAGGCCTGGTCAACCTAACAGTATTCTGCCCACGCAATACTATGAACCTTTCGTCGAAAGATTCCTGATGCTCTGACAACCGCAGAGGATAATCAACGGTGCCCTATCTGCTGCATCGAGCAGGGTGGATAGGACTTTGGATACTACTGCTCAAGCATTCCCGTCTTCTTATTCCCCCTCTTACGTTTTTGCACCCTAACCTTCTCGTTCCAACTTCACTTTTATCCCCTTGTTTTCAACCCCCCAATACTTAGCTCTCCCCCACCTTGCTTTGATGGACTTTTACATTTTTATTTCAACTCACATGTGAACGCGGAGCCTCATTCCTGCCCCGCCGAAAAGCCCATGTCCGAGCAAGCAGTCAAGCCTAGCTCATCAACTTCCATTTAGAGCTCTTGATGCTCTTTCAGATTGGCATGCCTCAATGTACGCACAGTGCTACAGATCGGTCAATATGTAGCACCTGCCCGAGATTTAGAGACCTTCTCCAACAATATCTGCTGCTTATCGGAGACCCGCTGCAATACTCGAGCTCTGTGCTCATTTTTCAATCCACTTCAGATGACACTAGCGGCACTTTCTCATGGCATCTATCCGATGACGATGCAGCTTCGAGCACCGGCCAAGCCGATGTTGGCATTGCCCTGAGTCCCCGGGCTGAAGCTGCTCTCGCTGACTGGGTTCCAATCAGTAGCCGTATGTGTGCGGTCCGATTGGCTGGCTCATTCAAAGCTTCGAAGTCGCGTGGGGCTAACAGGTGTATATTCGTCATCGCTGACTATGCACCCACAAATTCTAGCGATGATTCGGTAAAAGAAGACTTCTATCGTCAATCGAACGAGCTCCTTCGACACAGAAGAAGCTCAGACACTGTTGTGTTGGCTTGGAATCCGAACGCCCAACTTTGAAAATTGGCCACTGATGAAATGCATCTGGGCGGCCAACATGGTGTAGGCTCTCGTAATGATAACGGTGAGCGGTGGCTTCATTTGTGTGAAGATGCTCGCTAATGTCTTGTGAGCACTAACTTCCGACACAGCACCCGCCGGAGGGTGACTTGGCGTCCGCCAGCCTTGGACGCAAATCGATCATATTGCTATCAGTTACCGATGGAGAGACTGCGTCCAGAACTGTCGCTCGATTTGGAGCACATGTGTCGACACCGACCATGCACTTGTATGTGCTGACCTGCGGATGTGTTTTGGCGGACGACCACAACAATGTTGTGAACGCATTGACACCAGCCAAATGGCGAAACCAGCTGTTCTGAATGCTTATCAAAGTACGCTGACATGCGAGTTGAGTAAACGGTCCCTTAAGACAAGTGAAGGTCACTGGTCGCAGGTTCACCAGACCTTACTAGGAGCAGGAAAATTCTCATGTGATAAGTCTAACAGCCAACATGGACATTGGGTCTCTTCGCAGTCTTTGGAACTTATCAATGCTCGCCGGCATATTCCGACTGGAAACGAACACAATGTAACTCGTAAAGAGCTCCGGGCAAAACTCCGTGTTAGCGTGAAGAGTGACGACGAATTCAGGTGGTCTCATCGTGCTTCAGAGATGGAAATGGCCGCTGCCCTTGGTAACCATCGTAAGTTATTTCGGCTGGTACGAGAAACGGACATCAGAAGACCTAGTGTTAGTGAAACTATACGTGACGAGAGTGAGCAGCCTATCCACAACTTGTCAAAACACTTGGAGCGTTGGGCTGAGCACTTTAAAAGGCTATTTAATCGGTCGGAATTGTTAAATTTCTCGCCGATCACTGATCGCCCCGCTCCGTGAGCTGTCCCTTTGGATCCACACACTCGCTCAGAAGTCGAACATGAGATCTCACTGCGGAAGTTAAATAAAACCGCGAGACCAAGTGATCTACCTCCAGCCCTCTTCAAATTCGGGGGACCTGCTCTAGTTACTAGTGAAACTGTGGGAGCAGGAAACTATCCAAACCGTCATAGTCACAATTTTCATGGGAGGCTCACGATCGGAATGCGGCAAACATAGAGGAATCAGTCTGATCTTCATCGCCTCCAAACTGCTTGCCTTTGTCATCCTTCACAGACTTACTGCCACTTGTGAAAGCCATATTCGTGAAGAGCAAGCCGGGTTTCGTCGAGGTCGTGGCTGCATTGACAACATCTTCACCTTGCGTCAGTTGTTGGAGCACCGTCACATATATTGGCGGCCCACCATTGTCGTGTTTTTCGATAACAAAGGTGCATTCCATAGGACAAATAGACGTGCACTTTGGGACTGTCTACTCAGGAAAGATCTACCTGAGAAATATGTAAATATTATCCGAGCAGTATACGCGCGTAGATCAGGCAGACTGAGGGCTTACGGTAAGCTGTCGTCGCCCTTTAATATCTCCAGCGGTGTGAGACAACGATGCCTGCTGTCACCTTTCCTCTTCAACTTCGCTATTGACAAAGTCGTGGAAATCGCGTTCACAAGACACGAAGGTGTGGACCTGTTCCCAGGAGAATGACTTCTTGACTTAGAGTATGCGGACGATATTGACCTAATCTGTGACAGCCCAAAAAACGTGCGAAGCGGCACTGGACAGATTAGCACTGGCTGTCCGTCACTTTGGGCAAAGCTTTCGTCTAAGATTGGTAGGATCTCCTTCTGCACTGACCCTTGGTGGGGATCAGCTAGAAGTCGTTCAAAAATTCAACTACCTGGGAAGTTCTATCAGCGCCCGTGGGATTGAAGATGAGATCACTGACCGTATAGCAAAAGCTCGGGGCACTTTTGCTAACCTTCGCCACTTATGGCGCCGGCGCGACATCACTCTTGCCCTGAAGGGTAGAGTGCACAATGCAGCGGTACATTCGACCCTACTGTACAGTTGTGAGACCTGGCCCCTTAGAGCAACGGACATAAAGAGGCTAGTTACGCTTGACTACCGGTGCCTTCGCAATTTAGCTCACATCTGGTGGGAACACCACGTGAGTAACGAGCGTGTTCGACGCCTTGTTTAGGTCACATGAAAATGAAATGAACCGCTCAGCACCGTTATTTCACGCACCAGGCTCCGATAGCTGGGCCATGTTTTACGCATACCAGCCCACGACTCCCGCGAAGTGCGTTGTTGGCGCGCCGAGGGTGTGGATGGAAGAAGAGAGGTGGCCAAGCGATGACTTGGTGGAGGAGAATAAAGAACCTCATTTGGAAACTGGCCTCGGTTGGAGCGTCTTGACTCCCTGGTTGGGGTCCGAAAGATGATGAACACGTTTGGCTGGATACACTTGTTGATATGGCTAGGAGCCGACCACAGTGGCGTTCGTGCAGTTTCTTTATCCCACCCCATCCCTCTTAGCCTCCCCTTTCAACCACGATCTCACTGTTTAGCCTTATATAACCTTGCATAGTAATATTTTTTGCTGCATAGTAGCCGGCAGGTAGCTTACCGGAACGATGCCCATCCGCTACCGGTAGCTCAGCTGGCTCGCACCTGTCGCATTTTACTCCCTTTTTTCTTTTAGGTAATGCGGCACAGAGCTGAGGTGTTTCTCAACCTCTAGCTAATATGTATAATGTATGTATGTATGATGCTCGTGTAGAGGCATGAATGGTTGCAAGCAGTGAATCACTGGAAATCTGTCGACGTGATCTTCCTCAATTTCAGCAAAACGTTTGGAAAGTTATAACATGAGGTCCTCCTTCATAAGCCGAGAGTATGCGGTGTTGGCGGCTCACTGCACCAGTAGATCCGCGAATTCCTCATTGGACGAAAGTGGAGAGTGCAAGTCGATAGCCATCTGACCAACAGGTTTCCTTTGACCAGTGGCGAACCCCAAGGCACAATGCTGGGGCCGACATCGTTCCTGCATTGTATCAATGATCAACCAGAGCTTCTTCGGTTATCGTGTTCCCTGTTTGAGAATGACCTGAAGATGTGGATGGGGATAAGCACCGACGACTGCAGCTCACTACAGCAAGACCTCAACCGCCTTCCCATGTGGTCTGCAAAAGTCCGCCTCCCGGCCAAGCCAGACAAGTCGGTATTCCTGAAACTGAAGTAGGATGGTGACGGCCAAATGCTACATCCCACAACTTGTGTGGAGGACCTAGACGTGTTCTATAGTCACGATTTGAAGTCCGTGGAAAACACAAACAAGGTACTCCGAAACGGACTGCGTATGCTATGAGCGCTCAAAGTTAGCTTCTGCATCTGGTCTGAAGAGGTAGCCATTAACACAGCGTGCTCCTTAAATTCAGATTTGAATTACTTTCCGCTGTGCCAAGCGTTGTTCGCGGATCTCAGTAGCATAGTGTTCAGGGCGTCAGCCATGAACTACTAAGCTCTGAGTTCCACCGCAGCTCAGGCTATCTCCACCTAACGAGTCTAAACTAAGACGAAACCACGGTTGTGGTGTGCCAGTTGGAAAGAGCAACACCCAAATATAGCCACTAACCTCTTCTCGTCCATCATTAGACTAGTGCTAGAGTACGGCTCGCCAGCCTAGTGTTCGACCACCCGCGGCGAGGCGCAGAAGATTAAACGGGTTCAACACGTCGCTACTAGGCTCGTCCCCAGTTCGCGTGGCTTACCGTACGGAGAGTGCGAGAGACTGGGACCGTTCATCCTGGCATAGCGTCGGTTATGTGTTGACCTCATGGTGACCTACCGGATTCTACATGTAGGCGACTTCCACATGCTAAGGCCACTGCTCCACTTGTGAACGCCTTGCAGCACAAGCAGAAACCAATTCAAGCGTGTGGTTCCATATATGAAGCATTCCCTATCCCCTGTGTTTGGAACGGCGAATGGTCAATGTTTGTAAAGGCTAGCTGGAATTTATCGTGGGAGAAAACTCGATGCACTAGTCCAAAACATTGTTGGATGTACATTTCTCCAGTGTTAGATTCCGAGAACGATTACCCATTTGATATCTCACATCTGTGAGTCCCGAGTTACTGTGAGTTCTACGTCATTTTTTACGATATCATGTGAAAACTTGGAAAACGTCTTTGATCATATTCCGATGGACTTGTGCATATACAAAATTCTATCTGCACTCACAATACGATATTCACAAACATGTATCTTATATTCTGTATTCCTGTCTACAGGTTATGGGAAAGTTCTCCGTCCGCATTGTTCCAGACCAATCACCGAAGGTCATTGCACAGAAGGTGACCAAGTATTTGGAGACTTTGCATCAGCTTCGCGGTTCACCCAACCGGCTGAACGTCAAGGTATTTCGGGATGGCAGGCCATTTTTGGCCGATCATACGTGTACAAATTATAGAGCCGCATATGCTGCCATCAGCAAAGTATGGAATAAAGAGCCCGATCTAACGCGTGATGGGGCAGCAATTCCGGTGGCTATTGCACTTGAGGTAGGTCAGTGAGACCAAATATAAGAAGACTAGCTTGGTACGCTGGTTACTGTATGAGTCATGTGTATGCCTTTCACATTTAATGGTGTGTCGCACAATGTCGCCGGAGAACCACCTTTGACCATTACTCATAAAGCATAGACGAAACCAGTGACTACTGAAAGCCAGCTTAGGTAATAAGACACCAATGACGGTAGAGAAAACCGGAAGCGAACTCTACATGACTCTCAATTGTCCCTACTGCATTTAACAAGGCTGGCGAAAGGTTTGCAACAAAAAATTGGCATCGAGCAAATATCTTATGCAGAGATCACATTTAATCCTCAAACACAAGGTTCCCAGCATTCGTCAGTTTAGCTGTACCCGTTACAATCAGTGTCAATGAATCGATGGAGAGTGATTCGTATTTAGACACTTCAACATGCAATCTCCAAACGGTTATGCTGGACGAGCGCATAATCGAACTGTTTCCTGAATGCACCATGCTTCGCGTGGTAACGAATTGTTGTGGAAAAAGCGCTGGATGGCTCGTGTGCACGAGGGATGAAGTTTTGACCAAAGCCACAAACCCTTCTCTTTGGCCTGTCATGCTTCCCTCGAGGTTAAGTTGGTCGTAGCATGAGTGATCGAGTTGTATCAAGGACCCGGTACACTGAACATAAGTAATAACGTGAACGCGGCACTCTTCGAAGAACACGTTACTCGCCCATTTGCTGATCACAATCTTCTGGGAAAATTTTTAAGCAGTATCGCCCTGATACCTAGTCCATGTATTTGATCTCACCAAGGACAGTAGAGTAGTGTGCACTCCATAGTGACTCACAAGTGGAATTACCTAGTTCGTAACCGTTAAACTTGCATTGCATAACATTTCAAACAGCCATAACTCTACTAGCGTCTGAACCCCCTGCAGTGGCATTGCTGAAATGGTCATTTCCAAGCATCCCGGATTGTCCATAAAGGTTAAGCAAACTCGACTTTACTCAATGCGATAGATGAATTCGCCCTCCAGGTCTATCATTTCGAACATTTCTACCGATCAAATGGCGATTGTGGACGAGCACTAACTTGAATAAGTCAGTATACTATCCGCCCTCACTATCATCGAAGAATCAGTGAGTTGACCTAAATGTACGCAGCATACCTACCAGTCAAATTACCGAAAATCAAGTGTGTGCGCCGTAATGGCCAACGTGGATGGTGAGATGATAGCTCATGAGCCAACAGTAAGATCCACAGCACTGGATTAAGACTATATGATACCCTCCAGATCAAAAAGGTGACCACTGTGCACTGAAACCATCAGCAGATTGTTCCCGGTTAGCTACCGATAGATACGTATTATTACTCACATCTAGTGGGACATCGGACGAGTGATATTGAAGACCACTAGCTTGCATTCTAGTGACAGGTTCCCCATAGCATTATACTGCATTGTCTGTTTGCTTAAACCACCTTCGCAGCTCACACGCTCCGTCTTGTGCTGGCCGCATATCCCAGCACACATTACTAACCCGTACCACCCTGTTGGGGAGGCTGGAAAATGATACGGTGAAAAGATGCAAGGAAACCTACAGAGACGGTTGATATGCTGTGGCAACTCAGCGAAACTCACAGTACATTCGATCCGCAAAACGTATGGATATATATTGCTCATGCATCTCTATAAACGAGGTTTTGGCCAATAAAATTTCTCATTTGACAGTTAAATAAACCGTAAGGAACTGACTGTGGCCCACTCGAACATCAGCCAATGAGGGGAATCGTGTAAATGGACGGGTACGTTGCTTCGCCCAATGATCGAATACATCGGGTACGCCACTCGTTAGCCGTTTGATTAATTGTGTGAACCCATCTACTCACACACCCATCACGTATACTAGGTGTTATCAAGACGAAAAGAATGTATGGAATCCGCTACATTAGTAGTTGAATGCTACGGTAGTTGAACCCCTGCTTCTTGACGTTAGTCTATCCAACAGAAGAACATAGCATATTCTTATCCCATTGCAGTTTTTCCGACGTCATTCGCTTTGAAGATTACGGAGACCCCCCTCAATACACAGGTCGCAGCAAAGCAACTGAACCGAACCTGCGAAAATAGTTTCCACTAAAGTGAAAGCTTGGTGGGAGACTTATGATTCCCTGCGTAAACAACTACATAGAGCACACGGCGAACAATGACAATGTGACACCAACTGTCGCTCAACAGGGCACGTACTATTGTGTTACTAACAGGCGTCAATGAATAGCACAAAGTTGACCTATGCAATAAGACCTCCGTAAGTTGATCATTGAAGGAATTGGACGAAAGTGGTCTGGATCCACAAGCTTTACGTGGTGAACGATTAAATAAGGAGGAAAAACGGTTAAGTTAGAGAGGTGCTCAAGAAATAAATATTCCACTGTATGTGAAGTAAGGACTTACAGATCGAGAACTAGCAGTTTGTTCATCCTGTTTTGTGTATACATAGTTAACTATGAATTGGGCGCATGTTGTATAACATTCGCAATACTTGTCCAACCGAAACCCAGCGTAGTTGAGTGAACACTCATATACTACGAGACCCCACAACTACTACGCAGCAAACTTGATCACTGGCCCCGAAGTATCCGCTGACCTGGATACCCATAAATTGTAAAAAAAAAATCGAGGTGCTTTCTCTTGTTCATTTTCACTGTACTGATCTTTGTTAGCGTTAATTTGAGTATCAGGCACCGTGAGTTTAGAGCAATGGAGCATAGTGATTGTTGTAAGTGATAAACTTGAAGACAAGAGACTTGAGGATAATTTCCGTGCTTCTTTCTCCCACCCGCCCCTGTGTGTACGGAGAGGAATCAACCAGAAAAGACGTGGTCCTCATTCCAATGGGCCAAAGTTTGGACTTCCAACATGAGAACAACGAGCGACTATCCATTCGAAATTTCACCAACGGAATGAAGGTGTTTGCGCTTTACTTCTTCCAACTGGCGTCTATGGACGCGGAGGACAGTGAAGAGGAGGAACAGCGGCAGCGCGAACGAGAAAAGTGGCGAATGAAAATGGTGTAGGCACGCGATGGAAAGTCGATCAAATGAATGGCGAATGGGAGAAGAACAACTCATCGGAACGGATTAGCACTCTATGGTAACAATGGCTTCGTCTGCTTTGGATTCCCCTTCAAATTCAAAGCCCTTGCACACGAAAAGCGGTGGGTCAACGAAGGTATAGTTGTAATACCACTCAACTACCCGATCAAAGTATTCCCACTGTGGTCACATGCACTTATTTTAAAAAGAATCAAAAAACACAAAATCCATGTGTGCAAGTAAAGGTCTTCATTGACTGAAATGAGATGTGACGGTGATACACAGTTGATCTCTTGAAGAACAGCGTTTAGGGAATAAAATCCGTACCCCCACATGGCACAGGTAGAGGCGATTGGTCAGATATTCATAGGGCCCACTGTGATACGGCGAGAATGATTTTTAGTTGACTGCGACAAAGCACATGAATCAAACACAGAGAGTGGGTAATAGTGCGGAGGAAAACATTACTAAAACTGATATGATGAGTTCTGAAGACGATCTGGTAGCAAGTTAGGAATATTTCCGACTATATTTTCATTACACGTGTCAGAGCCAAAGGATTCGAGTGACAGAACAATGGAGCAATAATATCAGTTATCAAGACCGGCTGCGATTTTCGCGCCCCAGTAGCGGATATCGACGAGTTACTTCGAAATGGCAATACAATTTAAGAGCTTACTTAAAAGTACGATACTGAGACACACAGGGTAGTCATTATCACGAATTCATTAGGAAACACAGAGCGCAGTTCATAAGTTCGTAAAACACAATTGTCGCACGTGTGAATGGGAACCACACCAAGTAGCACAACTCTTCCTACTGCTCTCTAACGGGCGTAAATAATGTTCTCCAAGGCGATCGACTAAGGAGATTAGAGTACAAAGTCTAAGTGGGATCGGACTAAGTCCCGCCAGAAATTCTGGAAAGGCAAACAAACCACAGAGCATGCGTCGGCATCAGCCCACGGCTCCGAGGTGTAGGACAGTTGTATAGTTCTACTGCCGCACAGTAAACAGTCTAATCCTGGGACAGCATCAATTCTTATGGTTATAGCGCCGAGATAACTGTGTGTAATAGCAGGGTCATCAAGGCTTTAAACTGAATCATCTATAAGGACTGAGTGAGATTAGTGTGTCGTTTAAGCTGTGGAGCGTACAAAGCCGCTATTGGGCCAGTGGTACCGTGTGGAGCGGAGACTTCGCCGGTGCCCGTTGGAGACATTGAGTAACCATTTACGAGCAAGGGTGCCTGCGGAGTAATTCCTTGCTTGTGGATAAAACGTAACTCGTATAAGCAACTGTCCATAGATATTAACGAACGGAGCTTCTGAAGCTGAACTAAAGTACGTTGAATACAGACCACATATAAGGGTTACGTCGTAACACTTATAATATCTCTTAATAAGCTAACGTAGCATTCGTCACAGCTGCTTTTACTTGGGTGCAAATGTAGAGGGGGTTAAGCGAGGATAGCGAGAGAACAAGGGAGAATTGGTTACGCAAGTGTTTTGCCATCCTCCTGGGTGGGGTTTAGTTCCCACGAATATTAATAAATTTCCGCACTGCAATCGATTTCACCGCGCTTCGAAGCATAATTCTTTCACTGAATTGATCATAAATAAATGATTATGTGGCTCCTTGCCTACTAGACACACTACAAATGCCACTAACGGAAGCACATCACCAGAGCACGCCAGTTTTGGTAAAGTGATTCCGAACCCTGTTGTCGCAAATGAAGTAGGCTAATGCAAGTGGAGAGTGGGATAGTTATGGTGTGATAACATGTAAGCAGCGGCATTCCCGCACCGAAGCAGTATTATCAAGCTACTGCGGTAGCCGGAAGTGAATTACGATGACGCATCGCACGAAGGATAGAGGATATAAAAGGAGAGTAAAATAGAGTTGGTGATGAGCATAACTGCATATCTGAACGAACTGGTACATTGAATTTGGTTAGTATGGGAGAACAGTAAACAGACACGAAAAGAACTAGATCACTAGCAGATTTGTGCATAAATATTCCGATAGCATACTGGTAGACAATTTCTATCCTGGACATATGGAGAGCCGATCGACGTTAGCAAATGATCTCAATCTGGTGAAAAGGCTGAGTAGCCATGCGACAAACTTAGGGGACCCCAAGCAGTAGCAGCAGCAGGTTCACGGTGTTCGATCTAAGTCGTTTCGGTATGAATATGTGTAACGTAACCTCTATGAGAGTTTAGAATGATATTCGTACCAAATGTGCAGTACTCCAATACAGCTTTAAACGGTGATCAAACTGGCCCATCTGGGCTCAGTTTGCACATACAACCTAGGGAAGAAACTGGCTGTGTGATGAATCGAGTCCATGCCACATCGACGCATGCAGCGCAAATTGGAGTGGGTTGTATTACTCTTGAAACGGCTCATATCCAGGGTGCATGATAAAGAGTACACAGGACGAATGAACGCATAGGCTTGAAAGCGAGATTTTGTTGTAGCGGATTCGTAGTATCTGCAAGCCGGTGGGACAACCTAGTGATGCACCAGTCGCCCGCGATAATAGCAAATGATGCAACGGGTGGTAGTTAAAAGATGTGAGTCGCTTTCATAACCTATCAACTTTCCACTCACAATCTGGATTCGAAGTTTCCGAACAACAAACGAAATTGCCGTTACATATTGATAACAATACCATATTTGCGGACGACACAACAATAGATACTGAATAAACAGCTGATCGAGGTTCGATTAAGATGTTCGGCACTTTGCGGCTAAGGATACCTTGAGCAGCGATGAGTAGGGTCTGAGAGAAGCTGTGCATATCGCACAGTGGAACATCGGATGCATTTAAAGTGCGCCAGGAGCGAGTAGTATGACAGAAAAGGGGAACTCAAACAACGGACCACAAAAAGGTAATCGCACAAGGACTACAAATAGAGATGGAACAAGGAGAATCCCTTAAGCAGTTAGTGACGATGACTACTTCACGGAAGATTCAGTGTCGTTCAGATGAGTGGCGCCGTGAGTTGTCAGGGCAAATATATGTTGTGTGCCCGTTGTCCCAATAAACATGTCCCTGCACATTGACTATGTAAATCGGAATCTAAAACAACTAGAATGATGGTTAGCCTCAGGAATGATACGCCAACGTGGCAAAGACGTGTTTGCATTCGAAGATTCCGGAAAGGTACATGGGATAAGATGAATAACTGCTCACACATTTTAGCCATAATACATATATCAGATAACACCAACAGTTGGGAGCAAAAAGTATGTTGCCAGTAAGTGTCTCCAGATGACAATGACAATACAAAAACCGAAGGGTCAAAAAAAACAGGGTCATGTGGAAGTGCATGTAACAGTTCGGTAGAGGCTCTAGAGTAGGATATGTATGCGAATTCACGTTCAGTGTGTACACAGGGAAGGCGAAGCCAGTGGTTAAAAAGGCGCTGATTAGAACGCGAAGGTACAAGCGACACCCTCCCCCCTCCCCTGAATGTATGCTCGGACATCATGGCAGAATTGGGAGCGCCTATAGACCATCTCTCAATCTGCAGGTGAAATAAACAGATCCTCAATCAAGGCAAGCGAGACGAGATAACTTGATAATGGGTAAAATCGTTCAAGTGCAAATCTTACGTAACACATAGCAAAATGCGTTCTGCGTTGTGGACGGAACACGGGTAATCTGAATGTGACATTTGATATTCCCCGTTATTGACACTAGAGAAGGAAGTAGTGACGTCCGCATTTGACAGGGATGATTAGAAAAAAGTGTCGTGTGTGATACGGAGGAACTCCTACCGGGGACTTCTGTACAAAGCAACACAATAAGGAGATCATCCCAATCACGAGTGTGGAATATGCAGGAATAAAAATCCAAAGGCACGGTAGCATTTTCGGTGCACATATAAACTATTTACAGCAACACCGTGTAAAGATGATGACTGACAGCATATGAACAGAAAGCGTGGGAAAACCACGGAGACTAGTGAGGCGGGGGGGGGCTGATAAAGCCATTCCGTGGGGTTCAGTTGTTAGGTCGCATAGATGGGCTAGGGAAGTAAGATAAACGATGTCGAGGCCACAAGTGCTTAAGGCCCATTTGCGACGTTGAGATAGATTGATCAGTTGAACCGGTTTTTGAGGGCGAATGTCTCTCCTCCTCAGTACCCAAGTCAAAGGTCCGATTCAACACATCGGTGGTGGTGTTGTCCGGAGAGGGAAGTTCAAGCAACGGTGCTCGTGTGATTCGATGTCTGTTTGCTTTGGAAAACTTGACTGCCAGTTGAGGAGGTCCCATCAGGTCGTCGGAAGCCTCCGATCGGAGGACAACCGGGTCCGGTTGAGTGACGGCGGGGGCTGAACGATTTTGACATCGATCAGCCAGACACTTGCAGGAACCCTCAATGCACAGTTGCCCAGCACGATGACAGCTGCACCGAGCTGTGCAGGTTCCGCGACATTTACAATGCCCGGTGGCATGCGAGGCACGTGACATTCTCTTGGACACCTTCAAAGAATAAAAATAGAGTGACTCGGTCGCTCTGAATGATCAAGTGTTAATCGATAAGAATGGAAGTAGTGGGCGCAAATGTTACGATACGCGGAATAATTGCCGTTAAGAATGAGTAAATAAAGTTGTAGTAGTCACTTGTCTTGCGAATAAGCGGTAGGCATCGGAGATCGCGAATTAAGATGATCCAGATGATAGCTCGAAGCGAATGATAGATAGATACCAGGAGACAGTCGGCAGTGAACAGAAGCAGAAATAGGTTTCAGGGTGACCGGTAGCAGAGGGAGCAAGACACATGAATGCAAACTACGGCGTACATGCTATCATATTTGATGGCTCACGACTGCCCCGTGGTCATGTAAACAGCGGTTGTGACAAAATCCTAGTAGAGAGCAAAAGGGGTAAACTAGACGAAACTCACAGGAAGAAATACCTAGCCCACAATTTATGATTGGCACTAGATGTATCAAAAAGGTTGCAGACATTCGCAGAGCAAAAATAAGACATACAATGCATACCACATCAGGGAACACGAACCGAAACAATTACCAACTAGTATCAGTTTCTGGCTAAAGCTAATAGTGATGTGGATTCGGTGAGATAAGCCACCACACTCACCCATTAACCCTCAAGATGCCAAGCCTAGATCGCCAACGTCGCTTATCAGGCAAGGCCATCGTGGGATCCCATGGTTTTTCCTATTATGTCTCAGTTGTATGTTGCGGCACCTACCTCGAAAGTGTTTGTCTCATATTCATGCGGGGATAGAAAAAAACATGAAAAAATCAGTTCCTAGCTTGCAGTAGGAGCAAAAAAATGACATGGGTCTTTTGAGAACACCCTTAGTAAGTTAAGTGTTAGATAAACGGCTATATATACAACCTTGTTTCAAAACAGGTCCGTAAGTAGACATACAATGGTAAAAAGCCGAGAGTCAGTTGATTTTACATGCTGATAGCTATAAACACTTAAAAACAGTGGACTGTGCGGGTTGGTCTGGGAGTGGCGGTTAAAAATCACAATGGGTAGCGTTTTAGCAATCGGGAGTGAGATCATTGCTCACTGTGCGGATAAGACTATCGATGATCTGGTAGACCATCGAGCTGCCGCTGCTCTAGTTATCTCGTGGACTCATGGACTGGAAGCCTCCTCGTGGCGACTACTGGGTGGAAGTTGGGTTACATCCACCCACCTTGCAGCCGCTGATGACGCTGGTCGATGATATCTCAGGCGCTGTGTGAACATATACTGCAGACATGATGCAGATTTGGCGAAAGCACTTTGTTTCTTGAATAACCGTGCCGTCTCGTGGCCGAAAGGTCAAGGCGTCTGCCTTGCAACCCAGAGATCGCGGGTTCGAATCCACGTAGGGGACCAGACGAAGCTCGCAGTATCCTTAGCCCACGCGTGACAGGTGGCGGTAGCGTGGTAGCAAAGGGTCTGTACGGCGTACAGGTGATGCTTCCTTTAACAACCGTTCAAAGATTGCCTGGCCTACGCAGTAAGGGCTGTAACAACAAGAGATAAAGATGTGTCTCGCCGACAGACCGACACTGCATGAAACGCAGAGAACACTTTCTCAGCTGCGAAACCGCGTGTGCGGAAACCGAAGGGATCCCGCCCGAAGTGTCGAAACATGGCGGACCCGCGTTGATGCATCCACTGCACCAATTCGTACAACACGTGTAATCACTTAGGTCGTTGAACCGAACGTGGAGGAAAAGAAATGCGGGTTCCGTTTGGGCCTCAGCAACATAAATATGATGTTCGTTTCTCGTCAACTGCAAAGAAAACGCAGAGAGCGAACCGAGCCATTGTACTAGCTGTTTGTAGGCTTCACCAAGACATGACACGGTGAACCGCCGGGCACTATGGCTGGTGTATGGTAATTTTGTAAGCCTAATTGATGTTTGCACAGTGGTATGCGAGCGAGGGTTCAGTTATATGGACAAACCTCGGATGACTTTGATGAAGCAAGACTGTGTCTTAGCCGCTGTCCTGTATGGTTGGCGGCATCCGGTTTCGGATTTGCCTGTCACTGTGGCCAGCCACAGGACGCCTGCGCCTACAGAGGGACCATGGGTGGCTTGCGCTGCACCATCCACAGCTCCAACCACACACCCCATATCCAGTGTAAACCCGAAGGAATAAGACCGGGAGGCATGTGGATCGGAGCCACGTTTTATCAACGGAGCCGGCCCACACTCCTTCACAGGCAAACACAAGCACACTGTATTTGAGGAATCAAGTGCACACAAGGCGGTGGCTGGACTGTAGTCCGCTCCACACTGAGTGCATGCCACTACTCTTCGAGCCTAGCACGGTCACAAGCACCGTGCACCCCGTCCCCTCCAGCAACGACCAACTGTCTCCTATGGCCAGTATGGACGAGGTAGTGGGTAATAGACAGGTAGGCACCTTGTCAACATGCACATCAAGCGCAGCCACATGGGGGATATCAAGCAACAGCCAATCACTTGAAACGATAAAATAAAATAAAATAAAAACTTCAATAATGCATACAGATATGGTGGCATAACTCTTCGCTAAATTAGCATATGAAGTAATTTGGTTAGCAATGAATCGGCGAAAAGGGAAAAATGTCCACATGTTACTCAAAAATGCTACAAACGCAACAAAATTACCGAAGATAAGCGCAATTAGCGTAAACAACGTGGCCAGCTAATAGAAGACTATTCAGATAGGCAAAACAAACCAAATAAACTGGAATGAAATTTATGCAGCTTAAAGAGACCTAGTTTAAGTGTAAGTTGGTTTAGCCCAACTGCGGTGAAGAAGCATCAAGAATGCAACATTGCCATGAAGAACCGTGCTTTCAATGCTTGTGATTATGCCGTCCGTATTGATAGTGGGTTGCTGAAGAGCCATTGTTTAGGGGTGGGAACCTAAGCGCGTAAGACAACCATCCAGATGTTGCGTTAGTCGACTACTGCGCGTTGTTTGTACACGGCGAATATGAGTTACACAGTATGGGGACGGTTCCCGCTATTGGCGGTGGCCAAGTTCAGACTGGCCATCATCGCAAGCAATGTATTTTTCAGCCGTGGGTTACCCGAAAATTCAGATTGCCGAAAAAGTATCGGAGAGCTCATGGAAATTTTGCTACCTCGTGACAATGCTGTCAAGGAAGTTGCGCCGAGCAACAGCGTACCGAAGGCAAGTGCTGTATTTTGTAAGTTGAAAATCGGGTGCGGAAGGAATCGCAAGCTGACCGTTGGGACCAAGCTTTCGGTGTAAAAGTCGAAAGTGCTGTCGGTTTTTCATTACGGCAGCGAAAAATGGGCGCTATACGAGAGGGAAATCAGATACTTAGAGCGCTTTCACCAATAGTGCGTGCATCGGTGTGACGGAGTTGCTGATACGGAAGTGCTCCGCCGAAGTAGTGTGGACCGCATACTTCTGCTGTGACATCTGAGATGGCTCGGACATGCCCATCGTATGGATTCGACGAGGATACCGAAACAGTTGATATATGGCCAACTTAGTATGTGAAAAAGAAACGTAGGCAAACCGAAGCTACGTTCCGAGGACATGATCAGGGTGAGTTCATCACGAAGTAATGTTGATTTTAGGTGCTAGGAAACAAAAGCAGTGGATCGGCGTCAATGGCTTGAGCATATCAAGAATGCGGTTGCCCAGATGCACCAGTAAGGACTGTTTCATCAGAAAGAGAAACGCCAGTTATGGAAGCGAGATGTCGATAGAGTCTATCCCATCGACATCAAGCGTATGGTGCTGTAACACATGCGGTCGTGTGTGCCTCAGCTAAGCCGGTGTGATCAGTAAACAACGTGGCCACGAGGAGCCAATATCGGTGAAGCAACAAGTAAAATTAACAGATAAACATCGGTGTAGATTATGTTAGGTAAGTTGCTTCTGATTCGATTTACTAACCCAGATCAATAAGGCGGTATATGTGACACACGCACTGCATCATCGTTGCAATTGGCCTGTACGTGTCTGGGTGTTTATCTTCTCGCGTTTTAGGTCTTTGCTTATTGAGATGCACGGTTTGGCTGCGCTTGATGTGAATGTTGGCAAAGTGCCTACGTATCGAAAGCCCCCACCTCGATTACTGACTCCACGAGACTGTTGATTATTACTGCGGAAGGAGTGCACAGTCTTTCGTGGCAGTGCTAAGCTCAAAGAGTGGTGCTGTCCAGCGCGGAAAATGCTACAGCCCAGCCATCGTGCTGGATACATCTGGTATCCATGTTTCCACCTGTTCAAATGAATGATGGGTATGTTGGAGGAGTGTCAACATCACCATCATCAACAACAACAGTACATCAGCCATTCGAACTGACGCTTCGCTGCCATACAACCATGATGATCTAAACATAAAGAGTAATAAGAGGGAGAAAAGGGGGGACTTACCTGAAAACCTTAATGCACTAAGCAAACATTCAAGATCAAGGCGCCTACACCTTGTGTAGACAACATACTGTCACAAACAGCTGCCTGTCGTGCAAAAATAAGGCGGCATCGGCGAGACAGCTTCCTTGTGGCTTTCACTGCCCCGCGTCATAATCAGCCATTACCCCGCAGATAACTCAGCACTAAACACACTTTAAACAGGCAATCCGACTAGGAGACGGTAGCAGACGCGCCACTGGTGTCAGTTGCGAGCCATGTCCTGTAAAGTCCCGAGCCAAGCAGTGTCGGCGGGCTCCGAATCAATTATGACTTCAATCTACATGCCTTTCAGTGTTATCCCTTCGGATTTATACTGGATATGATGTGTGGATGGAGCTATGGGTGGTGCAACGCGAGCCACCCATGGTCTCTCAGTAGGTGCAGACATCTAGTAGTGACGGGCGAGTCCGGAAACAGATGCCTCCAACTATAATGAGCATAAAGTCATTAAAGCCATGGAAATCGAGCAAAAGTGCGCCGCTGTATTTCTTTGACCATTTCGCAACGGCCAGCACAAAACACATGATTACGAACAGACATGCGCATAATTGGTAGGTTGGATCCGGTTTAGCGTTAAAGCTTCTTGATCTCTAAGTTCCAGCTAGGGACACGCAAGGAGTTAACGATGTGGCTAGGCGGAAGACTCACCTAGTGTTATGCTGACTACCACGCGACCTTTTTAAAGTGCGGTCTTGTGAGAACAAACTGAGCGTGCAGTGCGGCAAACGCTCGCATAGCATGTGTAGGACGCAACCGAGGTATCCAAATTGTTGCGGTAGGACAAGAAGCTAGCGAATAGGAATAATTCCCAAGATATTTCGTTCGAAGTCATATGTGTGAACTCGGCTTTGCCACCACATAAGCACTAAATAAACACCCGGTGCCGAAGCTTTTAAGAGCCGGTGCACAACAATGACGCGTCGACTAGCGTTCGTTCCATACGATAGTACTGCGTAAACAGTGGATGCAAACTCTGGAAAGCAAATAGAAAAACGTCCCGGCGACATTGTAAATGTTTTGGATTGGCAAACGCTGACTAATTTGGTGATAAGAGACGTTCATTTTCTGACATCTTCATCAGGTGGAACATCGTTCTGAGGTGGACAAATCTGTGTTTCTGATCAGACTGTCCCTTAGATGACGGACGATGGCCCATTTTGTATCACCACTTGGCATTTCGATGGGGCACAGCGTATACTATGCCTAGTTGCGTTAATCATCAAAAGGTTCAGGACGAGTGACATGCCCTGAGGATCGTCAACGAACAAGATGCTCATCCGCACAATCTGATCTCTCAGTGAAACACTCGCCTATCACGGAAGGAGTGGATACAAGTTTACTTAAAACAACAAATTGCGGATAAACCATGGAGAAATGATATGTGATTGGGAAACTGAAAAGTTGGAGAAAATACAGCATATCGCAACTAGAATGATACCTAGTCTGCGAAAGCTTCCGTATGAAAAACGTTGTGAAAAGCTCGGACTCTACACACTATCCTATCGCCGAGTAAGAATTGACCTTATTATGACCCATCGAGTACTACACTTAAATCACTTCCCCCTACTGCGGCCAATTTTTCACCTGCGGGAACCGTGTAACACCAGAGGACACCGTTACAAACTCAGAGTCCCCAGCATGAACGAAGCATCACATCAGATTTGTATCGAATGGGGAATCGTAAACCCATGGAATATACTACCCGAAGGATTATTAGAGGCCGATTCTGTGAAGCGTTTTAAAACGCGTATCGACGATTATTTCGGAAAACTGTGCTTTTGTGAAACAATGCACATACAATGCCAAAAGAAGACATTGCATGTCCGGAAATAATGACACTAGTACAAATTCCTAACCGAACAAGGATAAACGATTAACGGACCAGACACAAGTGCTGATGATTCACAACTAAATGCTTTTGATTTTTTGTAATTCGACAGAGTTGTACAGAAACCTTTCTACTTGCTCTTAAATAGTCTCAGTCTCAGTCTCAATCGTTTATTCGTGTCCTTAGAATTCGGAAGCGGAATCAGAAGTAGGCTGAGTAATTAGACGCCACAAGAATAAACACAGAAAATTGGGATTAAAAGAGATCCAGAGAGGTTGCCGATTCAACACACATTTAGACTGCGTTGAGGTGAGCAATAAACAATCTCAACAGCCATACGGTGGTCTACTAACCAAACCAGTGCAATGCCTGACACCATAGTAGTTGCAAGTGTAAATGCTGAATAAAGCACAGAAAAACGATTCCGTCTGAAGATTTGCATATAGGTGTTATGTAAAGAGTGGAAACTCAAGCAGTTATGACCCAAACAACGCAGCACACGTTTGGAGCTGTTGGAAAGTTTTCATCATAATGGACGGTAAAAACAGCAACGCGATTGTAAATGTCGGAACTAGAGTCACCTGAATATCCCGAGCTTTCTTAGGTTGCCCTGCTAAACTTTGATTCGTATCTTCGGTCAATCCAGGTAAGCGCCAAGTAGGATCGAGCAAACTAGAGTCAGTCGGACCATCGGTTTCATCGAACGAGTCTAACATCGAACCGCCTTTCCTAGTAGAATCAGGAGCGAGCACCTGAGGCGAGTTGGTCCTTCGTTTCTTTCTCAAGATTTGCACTGACTGGCGGGTGATGCGCCGTCTGTGAGAGAGAATCGGTGTTCCAGACAAACGACGGACGTCGCCAGAAGGCTCGGTGACGTACTAAAATGTGCAAAAAGAAGTCATCAATGAGAAATCCAATGTGAAAAGAATCCTAGTATGTTCCCAAACGAAAGCAGAACCCCACGGCACATTTGATCACTTGATTACGACTATCACACAGAAATGAAACACTCACCGAATGCATGCGAACAAGAGAAGCTCGTTTCGTCTTTGTTACAGACTGGCGCAAATCATCCAGCTGGGATTGGAGAGAACGATTCTCCGTTTCCAGTTTGCTCATTAGACTGTGCAGGTGTTTAAGCTACAAAAATACAAAAACGTATAAGCAACAAAAAGTGCTAGTTGTACGTGAGGAAAAACAGCACCACGGGTCGATGACACTACTACGCTGAGGTTGAATATGTGATAAGCACCCGCATTTATTGCGAAAGACATAAGTAAACAACATGGAAAATTGTGAACGAATACTAAATGGGCCATGGATGAGGATGTAAGTAAGTTTCCTCACACCAGAACTATCGACAAAGAATAAAACCGTTGACCAAAACGTTCGGCCTCCAGCAACCTACGAGTGCACTCAAGGAAGCAGGCTCAAACAATCTATGACGTAACGAAATAAATAAATAGGTATATTTACGAACGAGTGGAATACGTTCCCTTTTGCGGAACCATCAGTTGTACAGCGAGTTTAGTCAGCAATTCATTTATGGACTGCATTAAATATGGAAAAGTTATGCAACGTTTCGTTGAGTTTGTAATTAGTAAGGTTATTTTTTATTAGTTGCAAATACTTAGTAGGTATTATTTATTCAATATCGTATTGTGTTTTTCTGACCGGATTCCATAAGTGCGCTCATGGATTTCAGAAGATCGAAAAGTGTGACAACACTTGGAAAGGAAAAAGCTTTTAAATGAGATTTAAGAAGCACACAGGCTCTCGTTGGTCCTTATTTGTAATGGTAGTTTATTCCACAGATGGGCTTACCTCATCAAGAAGAAATTGAAGGGGATATTTTACTTGATCTTCTGTAAGAATAGAAGACTTTCCCATTACGTGTGGGATAGGTTGAGCCATTTTGTAAAGCGATGATCGTGATAGTTGAGGAAACTCGCGAGTATAGTACACTGTAGAGAAGAGTGAGATTGCTTTTCACCCGTCGAAGTCAGAGTGGATTGAGCTGGAGGCAGGAACATCGGTCCTCATAAATAAGCTTTGATGAGTGTCCCATGAGCATTTCGGCAAATGAGTGCTGGACCATGTTCAAAGCAATTTTATTTGTTTTACGTATGTAGGATGGTGCAATACTCTAGAGCGGGTCGCACAAAGAGTTTAAATGATTCAAGCAGTGTTTGGGATAGTGAAAATGACCCAGTGATGTAGCTTGTTAGTTGCTTTGCTTTCACTACTTGATGTAGTATGCGTTCGGAAAAGTTGAAGCAGCTAGGGTATCGAATTCCCAAGTCTTTACCGAAGTGCATTGTTAGGATGGGGGTACCAGAACGAGGGATGGATTGTTCTGATAGCCTGCATCTGTGGTAGAGTATCTGAGGTTTATCTGCCGAATCCTCATAGATTTGCTTTCTGTACATTTGTTCCAGATGGTCAGGAAGAAATGAACACACTAGTTTGATGTCGTCCTCAAATAAATGTAGGTGCTGATGTCTAATGTGATCATATATCGTTCACGTAAATGAAGAAAAGCAATGGGCTTAATACACTGCCCCGACCGACACCACTCGTGTCAGTTCTGGAAGTAGAACAATACTGTCCAGTTTATACTACTCTATCGGGGCGTTCAGATATGATTCCAGCCAGATCAAAAGAGGATTACTGATCCCATAAGGGTAAAGCATGGCGAACTATGATTTGTGCTGTACACTGTCAGAGATATTTTTGCATATCCAGAAGAATGATGCCGATAGCCATGCTGTCATCTAAGGTTGCTGTAACATATTCAATGAATTGTAATTGGCATGCGACGCAGGAACGTCTTGTAGCGAATACATGTTGGACACTGCCGATGTTTTGTCTTGTCAGGAACTGTGTTACCCGATTCTTGAGGATTCTTTCTAAAGACATAGTGATGACGCAAGTATGGTTTATTGACCGGTAGATTAAAATCCGATTACGTGGACCACCTTTGTGTTTCGGCATCATTATAGATATTTTCCACTGAGGTGGGAACCAGTGTGAAAATGTTCTGTATGAAGAGGGGTACGCTTGTTACAGCCAAGCTTATAACTGTATGGGAATACCATCAGGTCCCGGTTGGAATGTCGGTTTGATGGATGTAGTAGTCATCTGTATGTCCATTAGACACACAGTACACAGTGGCTCTTCCGTTTTTCTTGCAGGTAGAGGAGAGGATGCAGTTGATGCAGTATGTGACTAGGCGGTAAAGTAGGAATTCGTTGAAGCACATATTTGGACTATATCGTCTGTTGCCGTACCGTCGAGGAAAAGTAGGCTTGACGAGTTTGCTGTTAGATTTGAATTTGTATTTGAATTAATATGGTGACCTCTTTATTTTTGCAGTGTAGTGATCTCAACTTATTTAACTAGGAACCGACCTTCGAATAGTTTTGTATCGGCCATCAAAGGAGTCTGTCTTTACCTTCAGTGTGGGTGCTAAAATATTCGTATATGTGATGATATTATTAATGAATACAATTGCGGTTACAGCCGAATCAGACGTGGAGAACAATCAGTTTCAACATATTGTCCTAAGCAGCTTACCAAGTATGCTCCAATCAAAGAGGTAGTTGGAATACTGGCTTCTTATTGCTCTGGACTTTCAGAATGACAGATATTTATGTCGCATAGTTCCGCATTGTGATCCCCCTGTTCATAAGTCATCAGCCGATACGTAAGTAGGTGGAATACCCTTGGTGAAAACCAGATATAAGAGGTGGTCTAATCTGAGTCCAATCAGCGTTACGGACATGATTGAGTACTTCCGCAAGTTCACCAGTTGTTGTAGGCCTATGCGACAGGCCGTTTACAATTGGCAGATTGAAATCACTACATAAGAGTTTATACTTGTGTTGAGTGCTAGAAGCAGTATCACGGGCAGGTATTCGCTGTTGAGTTTCATGGAGATGATCATCAGAGTAGCATCAGGGGGTCCATAAATGCAACCCATTAGTAGATGATATGCTGGACAAGTCAACCACAATGAAGCGTTCAACTCATTAAAGGCTAACTGGGCAGCTGAGATCGCTGTTATACCATGACGTATGTAGCTGGTACATTCAGCACCACGTGTGCTCAGGCGATCCTTACCAAACCACTGATAAGGCGGAAAATTCAAATGAAATTCACATATAGCTGATATACCCCATATTTCGGTGATACAGTATAAAGAGTTTTAAGAGACATAAACGGTGTAAGGATACCTAGTTTGGGTAATAACGAACAAATGTTTGTAATGATGGAGGCAAGAGAACAGAATGAGGTACGGTGCACAGATTTGGTTCCATCACACCCGCTGTTTTCATGGACATGGGTATTGTGCCGCAGTGAAACAACTGGGCTCTAGTGTGAGATGCGTTTTACTGGCTACAGTGAAGGCGCACTGCTGGAACAACTAGATCATCATTCGATTCCGTATGTTCGTATGGGGAGGACCTATCAGTGAGGGCGGATAGTGGCCTAAAAATGGATCGCATGGTGTGAGAGAGTGAGATTGTTCCGTAGGAGAAAGTAGCAGTGAAGGGTAAGTTAAAAACTGTGGCTGCTATTGGGAGGCAGCGTAGGTATGAGGGCGTATATCCACGTAAGTACCCTCAGACCAACCATTAAATGCTTTGTTATTCGAGTTAGGGCATTGTCATTTCCGGGTCGGAGAGATGGTAGCAAAAACTTTTGTGATGTTGGGTAGTAGGTCGGCTGGTTACTGCTGACCTCAGAAACGGTCCCAATATCCTTATCCTGCGGCACGACAGCATACAGTCTTCTTCAGCTGAGCGCTTCTCATCTGATGGAAGCGGTATAGGGGTTATTGGGGTTGTTGGGCATTTCCATGGAGTATTCGAGGGTAAAGGCGCTCTGCGATGTCATCTATTCCTATTTGGCACCTAGGAGAGTTGCTGTCATATCCAGTAAGGAGTAGTTCATACAAATTTCTAATATTGTTCGTTTCACATGTTGGCTTTTAGTTGGTGCCACGTAATATATAGGCTCAATGTTTATGGAAGGAACACATGATATGGCAATAACTCATGCAGGGTTTGTGCCTGTGCCCAGTATCATCTGGTCAGACCGGGTTATCCTCATCGTGCAATAATACCTGACGGATGGTTAGTATCTTTAGGTAGGGACGGTGTTGGTGATTGTTGTCGATACCATTGATGTTGGCGCGAGAAATACGAGCCTCTGAATGAATCACCTTACGTGAAAACCGCCATTGCAGTGGCGTTTGGTCGCTTCGGATCAGAATGTTCTTAAAGACAGTTCGTGCTGCAGTGAGCCGTTTGTTATGTAAAAACTGTTCAACCATTGCTTCATCCGGGAACTTAAAAAGGATGGGACATGATCTCATTGTCGCCTTCTTCCGGAGCCTAAGACATAGACAGTTAGAACATCTCATGGTGCATGCCGCGAGCAAAATATTGTTGACTTTATCTACACCCGATCTGTTAGGTGTGTGGAACACAATCACAATTTTTGATCTGCGTAAACAATCATGCATCCCAGTTGTGAGTAAGGATAGAATAAAACTGTCTCGTTTCACATCCTTTGGGTCTTGAACTAATTCACAGAAAACAAGAGACTTGATGGTGTCTTGTGCCAAAGCGCAGCAGTTCAGTTTTCAGTAATGCAACTTTTTCTTCAAGAGCAGTGGTGCGGTTTTGCATTGCAGGTAGCAAATCACTTCCATTGTCAAAGCGGACAGCCAACGCTTCTTTTTTTCTTCGTCTTAGCTGACGTAGTACTCATTTTGGTGGCATTATCGCAACAGACGGCCACTGGTTCTTGTTTTTCCCCACCCAGGCTATGATGTTTCACACTTTAGTGGATCCAGCAGGCATTTCAGTGCTAATCTTAGCAGTTAAAACTGATTGAAAATCGAGTTATATTCTTATCTGTTCCTTATGACATAATCCACAAAAAGTATTAACTCCAAAGCTCATTAATGAAATGCTGATGAGTTTTGCTCTCTATGAAATTAGACTTCATTTTCGAAAATGCCGATGCATTCGAACTTTATAGGGAACTGAAAATATTGCATAACTCATTCAGATCTGCGATGTGCGATTCTGTACAAGTGAACGTTCCTCAAATAGGAACGTATCCCGTCTGTTGGGAAATAGACCCATTTTATTTTACTTGTTTTAGTTGGCTGTTAGTCAGATCGTGGGAAATTGCTGAGGTATTACTCGTGCTAATCAGTGGAATGCCCTAGCAGGGAAACTGTGTTGACAAACATTTGATTGTAACTACCAGGCCTGAGAGCCCATCAAGTTCAACCAGGTTCAAAGTGCTGACCGAGTATGCGCAGTACATGTTCAAGCCAAAGCAAATTATTCGGTGCTATCTGTTGTTCTAAGGAATCAGCCTATTGTAATCTAGCACTCGCCTACACATATTATGGTTGCGGAAATGCTGGTCTCATCCGACAACAGCAAGGTTTCGCAGGCAGCGATGAACAAACACTTGAAGACGCCGCAGATCCTCAGATCGAAGAAGCTAAGTCTCACACACATAGAGTAAGACGGCCCTCACCGCGGCCTTGTAAATACGGCCTTTCAGACTCAGAGGAAGCCCCTTCTGACGCCTCAGAAGGTAGTTCTAGCTTTTGCAACACATGAAGTGATTTCAGTGCATATGCGTCTATCGTTGCTGATGCAGCCGTCAAGGTAAATTGACCAACTACCTCGAGTTCCTCGCTATCAAGGGTCATCAAGCGACTGATGGTCTTGAGACAACACTTTGCGCTTTAAAGGTGCGAAGTACATGCCAAATGATAAGGTCACTCTAGAGAGGGTCGATTGTGCCGTCACAACATCGTTAAATAACAATACGATATCGTCCGCATAACCGACTGGCTTTTCACCGGCAGCACCACAACGCCTGCATCGTAAGGATCCGCAAGGGACACTATGACGGAGCCCACAAGGAATTTGGAGAAAATGGGGAAACTATGCAATCCTGATGAACGCTACTTGTTGTCGGAAAGACATCCAACCAGCACCAGCATAATTGGTGATCGTCATGCGGTTAGAGGCAATGAATGTGCTTAGAGTGGTTGACAATCATACACTGAGGTGCACAATCTACAGCCTATAGTGATATGGTCAAGTAGGATCCTAGGTAGGTCACTGTTCGGTGTTTGCCGAGCACGATGAGGCGAATGATGGTGCAGGAACGTTGCGGTGCTGATATAAATGTGCGGCTGGTGGAACGTCAGAGAATGGTTAGCATCCCCAGTACAATAAGTGGAACGCACTGGGTTTGATACAACCTATGGCAAGGTGTAAGAAAGTAAGAGGTAGGCAGTCAAGAAAAAATGTTGAGGAACCAAACTCTATGTGTAACATAAATTTCTTCATCCCCAGTACGGAGGGCATCATCTTAGCTTGAGATGAATTTATCGGGAACTAACTAGGTTCAATTAATAAGGTCGCTTCAGCTGCCAGATAAGCAGGACGCTTTACTAGAGTTAGTAGTGGTAGTCTTTGGGCTGTCATGCAGGGTTACCGTCAAAATCGTTGTCTTTCGATATAGGAAGTTGACACGAAGAGAATCCTCACTGGTTGTAGTGCAATGTGTAAAACATCAGATCATGGATCGCAGGCACTAGCAAATAAATCTGCATGTGCTTGATGAGCACAGCTTGCTTAGTAGCACTAACCTGCTCTTCTGAATTAGTTAAACGAGCAGAATATTCGACGGCCTTTCGGCGTAACTGATCTGATTCGTGTTCTTTGGCAGTAAGTTGAACTTCCAAATCTGCAGCGCGACTATCCGTCGCAAGCATCTGCACTTTTGAGGAGACAACCTTGAAAAGGAAGACAGAAGGGTACAAACACGAGCTGTAGGTCGAAAGGTAATAAGCGAGGAACGATGTTCATTGTCAGAATAGGAAACAGGGCCTAAGTGGACAAAGAAAGAAGGTTCAACGGATGGTGTAGCGGATGATGCCGACGTGTAGGGAGACAGAATGTGCAATAGATGGAACTATTTGTGGTAGTTTGACTAGGATCTCGTGAACGATGAAAAGCATGATGGCGTTGTGCGCATCGCTCAAATCAACCACCAAAAGCACCCAGCGTGGCTTGAATCCTTGTATACTTCGCAACCCAGAGAAATTTTCTGGAGCATGTATGAAATGCCCGGAAGAAAGTACGCGAAGACTAGACAACTATTCTAAAACACAGAGTCTGTTGGACGCGTGACCTGGATGATCAAATGAACGGGGAGTAAGGATACAACAGACGAAGTTCACTACGGTTGATATATTGATGTATTGTCTGACCAACCCAGTGAAAGTACGTAGCGCAGTAAGACATTTTTGGGGTAAGAATTCACAGGATTGCATTGTGGATATTCAACACTGTACAAGTTGTGTCCATCTAATATGGAAACGTTTCATTGTCGCTGGCGGATATATGTCTGGATAATTCATGAAGTGACGATGGTTGCCGTTGTCGCATAGGATGGAGATGGTCGATCTCGCCAATGGCGTAGGAAAATCGTATAACAAAAATGAAAAGCGCCACTGAACTCACACATGCTTCTAACTAGACTTTGCATGCAGTGACGTACAGATCTGTAATGATACTATTAACTTTATTAGTGTTAGTTTAATACTATTATTATCCCCAACTGATCAAATGAACCGAACCGAACAGCTTCCTATGCGTGAAATGTGAACATTTGGGGAGATGATAACAAAAACACGGACTCACTTCTTTGAATAGATAGCGTAATGCGATGCGCGCTTCCTGTATATTGTGTAGCTGGAATAAGCGCGAGTTGATGAGCTGTTCCGATGTGCCAGTCGACGTCGTCTGATCGGATGTTAGGCGTTCACCAGCATCCAGTAATTTTTGTTGCAAAGCATTAATCTGTTGAGTTTGCGATTCAATGGCTTCAGTAAGTCTGATGATTTTCGCTGAGCGTTGCTGATCCTCGCCTGAGTTGCATTCCTCTGTCAAGGAAGCCTCGACCGACCGCAACTCATCACACAACGTTCGACGAGAATCGATCAGTTGGCTAAGATGATAGCGTGCTTCACCCATTCCAACGTGCAAGTCCAGATCTGAGCTTACCCAAGAGCGAACCCGGGCAGCGAAGTCCGATTTGCTGAAGGAGCATACAAAAGAGCTTGCAATGTAGACAAGGGTATGGTGAACATTTTGGAGTTAGCGTCATACCAAGTGTCCTTCAAAAGACCATTCCATAAATACGGTAATATAAAGAATCATGAGATAGTGAGGAAATTAACAAGTGTCGATGAATATCCGTTTCGAAGCAAATCCGGGGGGGGGGCGAAACAACTGCCCTCGAGAAAATCTACAACCAGATTAGAGTTATTTAAACTGTCTTTAAAGCTATCACGCACATTGTAATGCGGTAACCAATTTGCGTATGAAAGTTGAATAAGTGAAACAGATTAGCTCTACTCTACTCTACTACTCTGTCTAGTGGTGCAAACCATTGGCGGTTGTGGGTTCGATTCCCTGAAGGAGACCGAAAGAATGCGCATCACTGACGAATCCCGAGAGTATGAAACGACCGTTTGGCGCTTTTCTGGATTGGTAATTGGTTTACCTGACTTGTAATCTAATTGTGATTAACTAAAAAATCTCACCAAATCCCTCAACTCACGAGTAGAAAAGCATTTGTAGGACAGCCTTAGGCCTGCTGGTAATAGGGTATAAACTTCCGTGTTTGGTGCCGCCTTTTTGCGCTTCGTTCGTGTTTGGTTGCAGCTGTTACTAAATTGAAGCAAGTATGATTTATCGCTTATGTCGCTGACGAGACGGCACGAAATGCTAAATTGTGTTTCACACTATTCCAATGCACCAATTTGAGAGGACGAGTTACCTCGGGTGCTCACTACATTCACATTAAGTAGACAGTAATTGGTCCGTCTACCTCGTTCATGAGTGGCAAACAATGTTGCAAACGATGGCTGATATTCCTGCTTCGCATGTTGCGAAAACGATTGACGGTAGGGCGCCCGTCACATTGAGCATTCCTCCTGAGTTATGAAGAGTGAATATATCTGATGGGCACGGATGGAATGGTGAGAATTTAGACAAGTGCTTCTGTCGATGCGTATCATCTACAGCTGATAGTGACGTGTTTAGTTTTATTTAAGGGCAGTCTGTTGTTCGGTGGCCTCTGTGCAACTCGATGCGAACCATTGTGCTGGACAGTGGTGCTGATCAGCACGCAGATGAAGAAAGTGGCCACCATTGCCGGTACGACGATGAAACGGCCTCCAAAATGATGGGCTAACTCTGGTAACTACCAACTTGGGCATGCATGTCACCTTCAACGATCACGATGTTCGCACCCATGACCATTTCAATTGCGGAAGAATTTGAATAACACAGTGAGAAGACGAACGCTGGTAGATGCGCGCATTTCGTATTGTCTCATCAGTACCAAAACAATAACGAGAAATTATCTTATACCGTTCAAAGGGTGTTACCAACTAATCAAATGCAGTGGGGTGAACGGCGGCGATGGTTCTAGAACCGCGGCAACCAAAGGAAGAATTGCCGATATAATTCGTCTTTGACAACCCCTGGAAGTGTATGTTGACGCAGCACAAAAACAAATTGGCATCAACCGCTATTGCGCATGTGGATATGCGCTTGGATGCAATTTAGAAGAGCAGCATCCGAAAAACTGATGAGAATGGATCAAGCAATAGAAAAGTCGAGAACCATAGGCTCGGCAGCATCGGAGACGCGATGTGTGTAAGCCCAGTCACTGGGGCCTGTATCGCAGATAGATTCCACTGCTATCCCGTGTCTGTAAATGTTTCGAGTTAGCTGCTCACATGCAATTTCGTAAGTCGAATTCAAGTCAGCAGTGAACGTCACGTCGCCAACCCAGGAGACAGTATCAGTACATTTATGATCTAATCAAATTCAACCAAACTAGCGATGACTTTATTGCGGTCCATCGGCCTCAGCTCGTGCGCCTGTATGAGGCGTCAAAACAGTAAATAAGAGTAACAAAAGATGGCGTTTAGAACCGCAGAATAATGAGCAAATTATCACTACCTCAACTTGGATAATAAGTCTGGTCAGTGGACTTTGGCGCATGCATATGCCCTAGGGGCAATCCGTCCATTGCAATGAGGCTGGACCTTACCGTGGTGCGATGGTTTGTGTGCCTCAGTGATCCATTGAGCTATGTTTTAGCACCTTCAGAGCCACTCATACCAGATTGGTCAATGGTTAGAGACCAGACAAACTCAGCCTCCTGGTGCTCCATGTTGGGGGTTGGAATGAGGGTGGCTCCTTATTCCTTAAAACGGACTCCTTGTAGCCCAATGCCAAACCCGCTGCGTTGCGGTCAGGTTTTTGAACCAAAGGCGTTGGTTGAGAACCCTAATCGTTCTCCTGTCTAGGCCTGGGCAACCTGACAGTATCCTGCCCACACAATAAAATGAATCTCACTTCAAACAAATTTCTGATGCTCGGGCCACCGCAGAGGATAATCAACGGTGCCCTATCTGTTGCATCGAGCAGGGTGGATAGGGGTTTGGATACTACTGCTCAAGCCTTCCCATCTTCTTATTCCCCTTCTTGCGCTTTTTCACCCTTATCGTCCCGTTCCAGCTTCACTTTTATCCCTCCTGTTTTCAACCCCCAATTCTCGGCCCTCCCCCACCTTGCTTCACTAGTCGCTTGTCTTTTAGTTTCAACTCACAGGTGAACGCAGAGGGTCATTCCTGCACTGTCAACTGACCCATGTCCAACCAAGCGGCCAAACCCAGTTCATCGGCTTCCATTTGGAGCCCTCGATCCTCCTTCAGATGGGCATGCCTCAATGTTCGCACATTGCTTCAGATGGGTCAACAGGCAGCACTTGCCCGAACATTAGAGACCCTCTCGATCGACATCTGCTGCTTATCGGAGACCCGACTGCAAGACTCGAGCTCTGTGCTCACTCTGCGATCCCCTTCAGGTGACACTAGCAGCACTTTTTCATTGCGCCTATCCGGTGACGATGCAGCTTCGAGCACCGGCCAAGCCGGTGTTGATATTGCCCTGAGTCCCCGGGCTGAAGCTGCTCTGGTTGATTGGATTCCAATCAGCAGCCGGATGTGTGCGGTCCTATTGGCTGGCTCGTTCAAAACTTCCAAGTCGCGCGGGACTAGTAGGTGTCTATTCGTCATCGCTGCCTATGCACCCACAAACTATAGCGATGACTCGGTAAAAGACGACTTTTATCGCCAACTGGACGAGCTCCTTCGCCACAGAAGAAGCTCGGGGCGCTTTTGCTAACCATCGCCACTTGTGGCGCCGGCGCGACATCCCTCTTGCCCTGAAGAGTAGAGTGCACAATACGGTGGTACGTCCGACCCTATTGTACGGTTGTGAAACCTGGCCGCTTAAAGCAGCGGAACTGAAAAGGTTAGTTACATTCGACCACCGGTGCCTTCGCAATTTAGCTCACATCTGGTGGGAACACCGCTTGAGCAACGAGCGTGTTCGACGCCTTGTTTACGGCACAGTAAAAGAAAATAAACCGCTCAGCACCGTTATTTCACGCACCAGGCTCCGATGGCTCGGCCACGTGTTACGCATGCCAGCCTACCGACTTCCGCGACGTGCGTTGTTTGCGCGCCGGGAGTGTGGATGGAAGAAGAGGAGGGGTGGCCAAACGATGACTTGGTCCAGAGGAATGAAGGCCCTCACTTCTGAGCTGGCCTCGGTTGGAGCGTCTCGGCTCCCAGGTTGGGGTCCGAAAGACGATGAACACGTTTGGTTGGACACACTTGCTGATATGGCTAGGAGTCGACCTCAGTGGCGTTCGTGCTGTGAGTTTCTTTGTCCCACCCCATCCCTCTTAGCCTCCCCGTCCAACCACGATCTCATTATTTAGTCTTATATAATATTGCATAGTAATTTTTTTCTGTTTTGGTGCACAGCAGCCGGCTGGTAGCTTACCGGAACGATGCCCATCCGTTACCGGTAGCTCAGCCAGCTTGCACCAGTTGCTTTTTTTCTCCTTTTTTCTATGTATTGCGGCACAGTAGCTGAGGTGTTCCCCACCTCTAGCTAACGTGTGTGATGATGATGATGATGATGATGAGGGGCAATCCGTAGAAGAATTATGTTACCTGAGGTTGGCAGAGGCCTCGTTCTGGCGTTTATCATTCCGACGATCGCGTTGAAGTAGGAGCATTTCTTTCAAGCGCTTTTCGGTGGCGGCTGCAGCTTCCACGCGTCGTTTGAGAACCATCTGTTGTCGCTCATGCGCGCAAGCCATTTGCGACATCTCTGATTGCAGACGGCGGTCGTGTTCTTGAAGTCGACGAACCTGTGACAACGACGGGAGGTAGTGAGTATAAAATGCAAGCCAGTGCTAAAATGAAGGGCAAAGTGAACCAAGACGTTGCTGCTCACTTCACGCTCTTTTTCAATTCGCCAACGTCTATAGGCGGCACTTTCGTCCTTCAATTGCTTTGCAGTTCGGACCATCGAAACTTTCAGTGTTTGAATATCATTACGGAGGCGCAGACACTCAGCTTCCCGGGCCTCTTTCGCTCTACGCAGACGTGCTAAATCTGCAAGCTGACGCCGCGCGTCGCACAGCTCCCGTTCTTTATCCTTTAGACGTTGTTCCACCGACACAGACCCCTCACTGTTTGAAAACAAGGAATGTGTAGGCGATGAGCAATGATCACTAAAGTCATGACCGGGATTCTTAAGATAAGGAGCAGCAGTGCTAAAAACGAATGTGCTGTTCGTGAAGGCTAAAAATAAGTGAGTTACTGTGAACAAGTGCACTCATTGTGGCACCGTCGCATGACTCCGAACCAGACCAAAATCGGTCTGAGAGAAGTGGGATGCCTAATGTATCAAGGCTGAAAATTGACAGTGACCGTCGTGCGTCGCTGACTAACTTGCGAAAATGGCGAGTGAGTGTGTAGAAAAAGTAGGTAAAAGAGATATAACGGTACGGTTCGAGAGCTATCATTGAAGTCAGAATGACATTCATTCAACCGATGTTCTCCTCTTCCTCATGTAGCCAAATTGCAACATTTAGCGGAAATGGTCAGAATACGGTTCTGAGAGGACGGAATATAGTCCTTACGAATGAGGCAGGATAGTTTAAATACAGTGGAACTACTGACAGCTAATGGAGATGATGCTGCCATCATAGTATAAGCTAATAAGGTAGATCATTTAGTAATTCACACAAGGTGCTCGCACTGAAAAAACACGTCTCCTTAGCGACGGGTTGGAAACAAGCACAGCAGGAGACTCCCAAGGAAACTGGGGCGCTACGGCATATAAAGTGACAAAGGTAAAAAGTGAGCCGTGTGCACACAACATAGGTGAACTACTCTTAGGAGTCACCGACCCGTTAAATGACAATGCAATCGTCAGGATGGGTAAGTGGAACGGCTGACCCCATTTGTTCAATGACAAAAATCACGGGCGAAGAAAATGACAACAGCATTCTGCCCTTTGAAGAACAGGAGGGCACACTGAAAGTTGGTCTACTCCAAATAGTTCGTCTAGGGTTGAGTACATTGGATTGCGATTGTTTAATAGTATAATCCAGATAAATCAATTTGTTTACGCAAGGCCTCAAAACCTGCATCGTGAGATTTGTAAAAAGAAAATATTATGAAATTGTGCTAAATGGGCAAAGTGAGACAACACTGACGAAGTCCAAGTGAAGTCAGAAAGCTCCAGACAGATTAAGGATAAGCCCGGTTCTATCAGAAGCGTGGGGAAGTGTTCTCGTGTTTCATGAGAACCACTTTCCGATCAAATATACATAGAGTTAAGCGAATTGAGGCTGAGTAGAATTCGCCCCAGAAATAGTGAAACAAAACCATAATTCACTTGTGGTGCGCGTACTGCTGCCTTATCAGCTGTCGTAGCGAGTGAAAGTATCATCATCAATGCGGTTCCGTCCCGATCGAAAACTCACTTGCTATCATGACATACGGTCGGTTGGAACAGTCTCCTTCCACACCTGCTTAAACGGGTGGGTCGATTCTTTAAACAGAACCACATCACGAAAGAAACCATACCAGTAGCAATAGTGACAGAGTGGGCCGGAGTAATTTGTCCGCAAAATGTTAGACCCAACATTCCGGTCAATATATCTGTAGACAAACTCGTTGCCATTTACAAAAACGAATGCATCGTGTGCGCTGTCCCCAATGGCACAAAGCCTTGTCATTATATAAGTCAAGTAAACTGCTAACGCCTGTGGGTAAGTTTGGGACACATTAAGGTGTCACAAGACGAGGGTACAGATAAATGAAAGACGGGTTCCCGGTTGAATCGTCTTTCAATTCTCCACAAAGTAATGTTAAACCACAGGAGTTAGGTTGCGATTCGGATACTTCGAGCTGGTATGACGAGCGATCTCGCATGCCTTCTCTTTAGAGCGATTCCAATCAATGTTCGGTTCATTCACACAGTTCATCAATGAAGGATAACGTTACCATTCGGATTCATATTGCTATTTCATGAGTTAGCAGCACAGATGACATGCAAGCTGTACCTCGCTCGATGCAGCCGGAAGTGGATGCCATTTAGAAGCGAGCCAGACTCACCAACAACGTTGCACTGGGCAGCGTCATCAGTAGTTGACAGTGGGGTCAAGCTGCGTCAAGAGCAACTTGTAACTAGGTCTGCACCAAATAACTGCATGAACAATGTGCCGGATAACTATACTGTTGCCATAAAACCTGCGATAAGGATACAGTTGATGAGGTTGTCACTGTCAGTGAGACAAACATCGACTCAGGAAGAATCTCTGAGGATGTGTTCGGACTTAGCAGGTTTGAGCACTCATATTGCCGGTAATGCCCCAAGAATGAGAGATAAAGTTTATCCGCCAAATTCACCGTAGGTCGACTTCAGGCTATATTCGTTCGTTTGGCCTAATCGTTCGTGTACCCGGTATGAGCAGCTCCAAAGGCACACAGAACGTGCTACCCGGCGTAGCCAAATGGAATGCTGACACGCACAATTCACTGAGCACATTAAGCTCCAGCTACCTCGCATTAAAACCCATCGTTTAAGACAATAAAAATCAACTCGATATCTCTGACTATGCAATGATTCTGGTTTTTATCTAAAGCCGAATCGAGCAAATGGACCTGTGTACTGGGGTCTGCTCAAAAGAAAGAACCAGGAAAGACTGCTAACTGCAATAATACAACTGTAAATATCACCAATTACTGATTCGGTGGCATCGGAGAAGCAAAGAGTGTGACTGGAATCCGAGAATAGTAGCGAGATATAAGTTCGGACGCAACTGCCAAATAAGAGTACTTGGGAGCTACTACATATCAACTCTAGTGATGCAGCAAATTAGGTCGGGCATCAGCTATTGAGAGACCTGTTAAAATGTACAAATTTGGAAATACCAAAGGTGCGGCTGACAAAGTAAGATGCCTATGTTGGTTCACTAAACTTGTAGAGAACCGGGGAAATATGGGTGGAAGACAGATGAAATCTTGATAGCCTGTTGCGACAGAAAGGTTCGATTTGATGGTTCCCGTAAGTAGCCTGACTCGTAAGGCAGTGGGGAGCAAATCCAGTCTGAGATTGCAGTTACATCATGTGAGACGCTTGTAGGCGTGAAACGCACCATAGGAGTGGTGGTTTCGCGCTTTATTGGCTGAAGATCCATTGTATTGCGGAATACGATAGCAAAAGCGCGGTTAACAGCTGTGTCCACCCAGCACCATAGGTATTGTGTGACACTTGAACCTAGATCAACCGTGCCGACTTGCAAAAGACGCTTATATATGCGCTCACAAGGTTGGCGGCATCCGGTTTCAGATTTGCTTCTCCTTGTGGCCAGCCACAGGACGCCTGCGCCTACAGAGGGACCATGGGTGGTTTGCGCTGCACCACCCACAGTTCCAACCAGTGTAAACCCGAGGGAATAAGACCGGGAGGCATGTGGATGGGAGCCACGTTTCCTCAACGGAGCCGACCCACACTCCTTCACAGACAAACACAAGCACGCTGTATTTGGGAATCAATCGCACACAATGCGGTGGCTGGACAGTGGTCCGCTCCAGACTGAGTGCAATGAAACACTCTTCGAGCCTAACACGACCACAAGGACCGTGCAACCCGTCATCTCCAGCAACGACCAACTGTCTCCTGGAGCCAGATGGACGAGGTAGTGGGTAATAGACAGGTAGACACCTTGTCAACATACACATCAAGCACAGCCACACCGGGGATATCAAGCAACAGCAATCACTTGAAACGACGATATCAAATAAAATAAATCGAATAATGCATACAAATACGGTGACATAACTCTTCAATAAAATAGCGTATGAAATAAATTAGTTACGAAAAAACCCGCGATAAGTTCAAGACAGAGAATATATATTAAGAAAATGCCACAAGCGCACAAATGTTATCGAACTTAACTAAAGTAGTTGAAGGGACATGTGCACGTTTCTAGAAGATAGTTCAGATAGACATATGGGATAAAAAGTATTAGGACAATATAGCAAACGCACCCCCTGAAATAGAGACTCAGCATGCGAGCACGCGGTTAGTCAATCGAATGCAGCGTACCTACAAACGTTGCGCCGGTTCTGCCTACATTCTCTGCAGGATTCGTCGTCGTTTCGGTGTTGGCCCCGAGTGGCCTCGCTCATGGCTCACTAGGCCTGCCTGACACAGGCACTCGCCATCACATGTGTTACAGCACCACGCGCTCGATGTCGATGGAGTACATAAAATGGGCGTCTGTAGCTTTCGTAATTGCCGCTCCTTCTCTGCATGCATGATGGCTTTCTTTTGCACCTCGGCAACGGCGTTCGTGATCAGATCGCGCCATGCGCGCCGATCAACCGCCTTCGATTCCCAACATCTAAAATCAACATTAGAACGTGATAGGCTCACAATGATCATGTCCTGGTAACGAAACTTCGGTTTCCTCACATGCTGCTTCCCCAAACTCAGCTGACAATATAATAGCTGCTTCGGTATCCGCGTCGAATCCATACGCCACACATGACCGAGCCACCTCAAGTGTCACAACAAAAGTATGCAGTCCACTGCGTACATTCCAATTCGGCGCAACACTTCCGTGACCGAACTCTGTCGCACCAACCAATGAGCAGAATTCATCGCAGACACTATTGATGGAACCGCTCGAGATATCACATATCCCGCCGGTACATCGTCCACGTTTCACTGTCGTATAGAAGAACGGACAGCACCATGGATTTGTACATCATCAGCTTCGTGCCAATGGTAAGCTGATGGTTGTTCCATACTCGGTACACCAGCTTCCCGAATGTCGCCGCTGCCTTCGACATGCGGATACGAAGCTCACTATGTACCTCCTGGTGAGTCGAAACAACAGAAGCGGGAGGTGGTTTCCAATACTTCAACACCAATGCTGATTCGCGGCAATATTGAAGATTCCACCTCCGGTGAAGGCTGAAAGAGACAGACAGTTTCGCTTGTGTTGATGGTGAGCCCGAATTTGGCCGTTGTCGAAGCCAGAGCACTAGTCATGTGCTGCAACTCATCCGCGCTGTGTGCAAACAAGGCACAGTCGTCACCAAACAGCAACATACAGATAATTGTCCCACAGACAAGGGTTCTCGCACTGAAACGTCGGATGTTCAGCAACCCAGCAGTAATACGGTGCTCCACACGAACACCGTAAGCACAAGCGGCATCAAAAGCACACCATGGCATGAAGATATATATTAAACAGTACAGGAGATAAGACGCAGCCTTG